CCATAACATAATATATAATGTAGTGTGATATAGTATAATATTATACGATGTATATATGCGAGTGTTCGTATGTGTGCGTGTGTGTGTGTGTGTGTGTGTGTGTGTGTGTGAGAGAGAGAGAGAGAGAGAGAGAGAGAGAGAGAGAGAGAGAGAGAGAGTGTGTGTGTGTGTGTGCTTAAACACGGGCTGGGCAAAAAAAAGAAAAAGAAAATTCCACTCCCATTACTTCAAAATAGATTTCACCGGTCATGCTCTTTTTTCCCCCCACAGAAACAGGATACGCTGGTCTACATATAAAGATCCGCAACGTGCATAATGAAAATGTCCGAGCAACATCGATCTCGGTAACCAACTTCGGAAGACTTCTGTCATCATTTCTACGAGAACGATCTCTTGGCGAGCGAAGAAACCACAAAGCAGTGACCAGCGTCCTCTCAGCTTGTCCTCGTCATGTCGCAGTTTGGATACTCACACCTACAGGAGGAGTGGGAGGGGCATGACTCTGCCCCGATCCAAACATCAGATTCTTGGGTCGCATCATTTGATGACCCCCGTCTCCACGCAACAGCCCTCACCGACAGTTCCATCGTAAATCAAACGCCTGAGGCGCAGTCACAGAACGACACATCTAGTCCTAGAAGTACAAAATCCTCAAAAGATACTCATGCTGTAGACAACGTCAAGTACACGCCTCTCTCGAGAACCGGAGTTCACGAGCTGAGACCGTTTGACGAGGAGTCGGTAGAGGGCTTAGACAAAGACAGAGTGGTCTTCGATTCCTTCATCAGCATCAACGGAGGACAGAACTCAAAGCCAGTGGTCAGGCGCTTCCATGTGCTTATCTGTGGCCTGCTCAGCGCATGTGCGGCGTTGGTTGTTTTTGCATTAATTTATGTGTTTGTCATACTGCCCGCCCATAATGGGAAGATAGTATATCCTGACGGACAGATGCACACAGCGGACCTGGCAAAATTAAGGGTAAGAACGTTCTTTATATGAGTGGTAAAAAGTAATAATAATATTATTCAACTTGCTTATCCAACATGCTTGCTTTACAAACATATAGCCTGTGTCCAACTTTAACCGAATATCCACAAAACCAAGCAAAACACTTTTCTAACAAATTATTATTTTATTCACAGCCATATATCTGGTAATATGTAAACAGAACACTGTACTAATTTCTTTCATAGCAATGCTGAAAGATAGTAAGAAAAACCCCCACACATTTATACCACATCTGAAAAACAATATTCACGCTTATTTTCGGCTGGAATCGAACATCAGAGATATGCCGTTAGAAGTATCCAACAAATGGTATCTCCTTTCTGTGGAGTTGTATGCGTTCCTACAAGATGGTAATCTTGGCAGAGGGTCCTTGCGATCCAGCTGGGACTCCAACCCGGAATATCTTAACTACGAAGTTAGTGTGTAAAATCTTACACTATGCTAATCTCTTATTGACTTTTCTCATGAAGTTATTTAACTGGAATTCATATATCGTCAACAAGCTGATGTTCAAATGTATTGAGCCCAAATTTATTTTGTTTTTTTTAATTAATGTTTTAATAATCTTTGGTATAAGTTGCATGTGCTAAAAACATTATGTAAAAATTCAAATTCTAAATGTTGAACAAAGGCAAGCAAAAATACGAAATTTAGGTTCAATTGTTCAAAGAATAAAACCGTGTTTTTGTCCTACTCCTGAAAATGTTTGGTTTCAGGGCTTAGAACATTTGAACAGCTTGCCGACGATATGTATTCCCTAGGAAATGTCCTTTTTCCAAAAATTAATTAGCTGTAATCCTCGACTGGCGTGCAGAGCTATCTATGATAAGTCTTTTATGTTTGTACCTGTGGCGAAGTTGCTTGTAAGCTTGATATGTTTTTCTCTATAAGAAAAAAAAGCAACAATAATAATATCTTCTTGATTGGAGCACAAGGGTGCACTGCAATGTAGTCCCTTTTTCTGTCTAAGAGAATTTTTTCTTTCAATCAGGGTCCCACGCACTTCTGTATGAATGAATACCAGAAACAAAAGCCAATAGTGACAACAGAAACAAAAGACAATAACAAAGGTGACATTAAAAGCAACAGAAACTACAATGAAAAGTAATAACCCAATTCAGCAAGAAAAGTATATTATTCAACAACAACATCAACAATAACAATGAATATACAAGACCAACACTGACCTTCCATAAGAGTCACCTCTGTAAAACTGAACCGAAAAATTATCTAAATCCATACCACACTAACCAAATTTTCTTTTTTGCTCTTTCTGTCTTATCAGAAACTTGGAGAAAACGTTGTGGTGACGTCATGCGGTCTTGTGCGCGGACAAATGGAAGGAGGGGCGCACTCTTTCAAAGGTATACCTTACGCCGAGCCTCCTGTAGGCCGAGGTCGTTGGCGGCCTCCTGTGCCCCTGAGCTATCATTCTCGGACGTGCTGGAGCGGAATTTTCAACGCCACTTCGTTCGGAAGTAAATGCGTGCAGCCTAAATTCAAGGACGTGTCTGAAGTGGAAGGCGACGAAGATTGTCTGTTCCTAAATATCTGGACGCCTACGCTGAACCCAGAGTTTCATCTTCCTGTTATAGTGTGGTTCCACTCAGGAGATTTCGTGTATGGATCGGGAAATATGCCCGGGATGTCGCCCGGTCCTCGGGTTGCCTTGGATACGAACGCTGTTTACGTTAGTTTCAACTACCGTTTAGGGTCTCTTGGTTTTCTAGCTTTGGATGAGCTGAGGGATGAGAGAGAGAAAACTACTGGAAACTATGGGATTATGGATCAGCTTCTGGCACTGCGCTGGGTGAAGGAGAACATCGGGCATTTCGGCGGGAACGAAAACCAGGTATGTCTGTATAACGAATGGAGGTGATTTGATATTTTTGGTCAGTATTTTATCATTGCTGGTTTTGGGGTATGGGGTTGGTGTTAATGGAAGCAGAGATAGTGTGTCGTGGTGTTTGTGGTGGCTGCAGCGGCGGTGGCTGTGATAATAATAATCTGATGATGATGATGATGATGATGATGATGATGATGATGATGATGATGATGATGATGATGATGATGATGATGATATGATGGTGATGATGATGATGGGTTAGTAGTGATGGAGAAATCTTGGTTCATAAGTAAATGAACAAATAAATAAATAAATAAATAAATAAATAAATAAATAAATAAATAAATAAATAAATAAAGGAATAAAAACTGATAAAAAACAATGAAATATATTATAACTTTTTATCTTCCACTCCTTCAGATCACAGTATTTGGTCATGGCTCGGGAGCTACCTCAATCCAAGCGCTGCTGGCCTCCCCTTTTTCCACAGGGCTCTTCCACAGAGCCTGGCTTTCCAGTCCAGAACCGGTGCTGAATAAAACTTTGAGTGAGTAAATTTGTATGTGTAATGTTTCTTTGCTCCCATCGACACACTAAATATTATTTCGGAAGAGGGCTGCTTCTACTCTGCCTGGCAAGGCCAACCTGGACAGGGTAGGATAAAACATTCGATCAGACTAACAGAGATACTTGATAAAAAGATACGTTCTAGGTTGGAAATGGAACACACGTCTTTGGAGTGAAATGCGACGAACGTAGCTATTACACAGTGAGCTGAGTGCTATCTTGTTCTTGCTTCAATTACCGACATTTTGGAATTTATTGTAACAGGTGTCAAGGCTGTTGAAAAAAATTGTCCTCTTGAGCCAAGAACCATAATAGTTAACGTCCGTGTTTCATAAAATTTCAGTTTTCCTTTTTTGTGACTAGAATTCTGTACTTTCAAAGTAATTTTCATTTTCAAAATTCGGGAATATACACTTTGTTCCAGATAGCATAACGCTCTCGAGGCCACAGACGCCGTAGCGTTCAAGACGGGGACGTGGGTAATTGTTTCTGGTGCGGTACTTTGTCTTATTTCTATAACCATCATGTGATACTTACTTATTATAATTTATGCTATTTTTTCCCCTGGACAAGGAGAAAATGATGAAGTATAGGTTTTTCACCCCTTACTGAACAGTAAGTTCTCTTAGGAGACGGTGCTTTCGATATTGACGCCCATCCTCGACAAAACGAGCGAGCTGGGTGGGACGTCAAAGAAACTCTCCTAACATTCAGAGTTCAAGAAATCCCGTAGAGCATTTGTTGTGCTCTGACGACGTTTCATACGCACTGGGCTGAGCATGCTCCACTGGACAAACTATAGCTAGACACATTTTAAGAAATATTTGACTCTTGCCGTAAATTAATAGGGTTTTATTTTTGTCCGCAGGTGAAGCATGCCGAGACAACGCAGAATTCCAAAAGAAATCCGGCTGTTCAGGCGCACAGTGTATGCGGCAATTGACTGCCAAGGACGTCTCAAGATCATCTCCATGGCAACTGGAGGCGCACTGGACACTTGACCAGCTGATCCAGCCTCATAGCAGTCAGCTGAGGAATGGCATCGTCATATTTGATGGTATTTGCGTGTCTGTTGTTTTGTAGATAGATAAATTGATAGATAAATATATAGACAGGCAGACATACAGACCGACAGACATACAGACAGATAGACAGACAGACAGATAGATAGATGGATGGATGGATGGATGGATGGATGGATGGATGGATGGATGGATGGATGGATGGATGGATGGATGGATGGATGAATGGATGGCTTGGCAGGCAGGTACGAGTAGTTAGGAAGGTAGGTAGATAGGTTGATAGTTGGTAGGTAGGTTTGCAGGCAGGTAGGTACAGAGAAACAAGAAGATAAACAGAGAGACAAATAGATGAATGGGTGTCATCATCATCATTATATTAGCTTTTAGCTGTTATCGTTCTGGTTTCGTATCACGTCAACAACTTATACGATTTTGAAAGGTAACATGGAAAAGACATATAAAAAGAAAAAAGTCCCTTTTTAAGTACCTTGCATGGATAGAATATTGCAGTGGCAGTAAGCGCATAGTTTACCGAACTGTACTACATTATGTTATGTCCATTGTTTGTGACACCTAAGGCAGAGCGTATCACAGGGGTTGAAAATAAGTGGTACAGATTTTATTTTCTATATTCTATGAGCACCAAATACGATACGAATAATCAATTCAAAGTCTGAACAAAATGCATCATAGTATGCGTACAGAGGAAACTATTCTCCTCAAAACATGAAAACCAAAATGTACAAGTCTGTTGCTTCGAAAGAGGTTGGGATTGGGCTGGTAGCTAGGACAACTAGGAAAGTTGGAAAGGGGGGGGGGGTCAAAATAATCTCGAAAAGCCAATGTTATGTCGATATGGGGAAATCTAATTTTTGTGAATCATAATCAACTGACCGGAACATTTTTGTATAAAATGCGTGTACATCCCTTTTGTTTGGATTGATGTAAAACTTAAATTGTCTATTTCTCCCCAGGCCATATTGTCCACTGGAATAAGGCTCACGAAGGTCCGTTTGGCACGGACGTTCCTGTTGTGTTCGGTAAGAAGACTTATTTCTTTTTGCTCCAGTTTTGTTCTCTGTTAACTAAACCAATGTGTTTGCAAGGTGTATGTTTAACTCTGTCCATGTCAAGTATCAATCTGTCACTTACATTATGTACACCATACATGTATTGGGATCATGTTCTGATAAACTGTGGTAGAAAAAAGATGACGTCTGTTTAATTATAGCCTACGTGCACGTTTTTTTTTTAAAGTCGTTTTGTTTGTTTACTAAAATTGTTACCTCGTTATAGTGCCTCGTCAATTATTATTCAAATTAATTCTATCGTAAAATTAACTAACACAGAATAGTTAAGACATCGGACCCCTATTTTCGCCTAACTCTTATATGATCGAGCAAGGTGGATAATAACATTCGAACAACCAAAGTTAAAAAATATTCCTTTATAATTTGGTTACCCACAACGTGTTCTAGAATGACACAAACATGGCTGTCGGCTCGCCTAAATGAAACACGAACAGACCCGACTACGCCACAACTGCAATGCATGGGTACCTTGGCGATACAGATAATAAATATCAATGAAAATAATGCCGTAAGAGGCCAACTTCTAGATAACATCCGTACCATTTACGAGAACAGCTTAAGTACTGTACGAACGTCAGAGGGACTCACAGAATGGTTCGAGATAACATCTGGAGTAAGACAAGGTTGTGTCCTATCACCACTACTGTTTATCATGTATATGGATAGAATTACAAAAGAGGCCAACACAGAACCAGACGCCCTAAATGAATTACTCTTCGCTGATGACCAAAGCCTGGCACACAAAGATGAACGATGTCTCCAACACCACACTACAAGATTAAACGAAGAATGTAACAACTACGACGTGAAGATCAACATCAACAAAACAGAGACAATGAAAGTAAGCAGAAAGCCAGAACCACTCAGGATACACATCAACAGCAACAGTCTCAGACAGGTCTAAAAATTTAAGTACCTCGGAAGTATATTCACAAAGGATGGGCGACTGAACAGAGAAATTGAAACACGAGTACAAAAGGCCAATAATGTTAGTTACCAGCTTACTCCACTACTGAAACATCCTAACATCCACATGACAACAAAACTCAAAATGATCAACACCATATTCATCCCAACACTCACCTATCAATGCCAAACATGGACCATGAACAAGACACTGGAGCAAAGAATTACAACATGTGAAATGCGATGCCTTAGAAAAGCAGGAAACAAGACCAGGCGAGACAAAATTAGAAACTCAGTAATCCGAGAAATGATAGGCACAAAAGATGTCTTACATCACATCCAACACCAAAGAATAAAATGGTTCGGACATCTCCTACGATTACCTACACACCATCCAGCACAACGTGCCTACATCAAACAATTCGATGGCAACAAGGCAAGAGGGCGACCGGGAAAGTCCTGGATAGATGGAGTCAGTCAGGGAAACATGAACCACCCACGGCATCCCCCTGACCCAAGCTCTCTGGCTGGCGACAGAGATACGTCTCTTTCTTTCCGCGACACCCAAAAGGGTATAAGTATAAGCGACGGATAAAAGAAAAGTAAAGAAAATAATGCCAGAATTGATCGTACACAGAAATTGTTCATTATATGTTTTTTAATATGTTTTCTACCTCTCATTTAAGATCCGTCAAATGTTTGATATCGGATATATACCCTCTTCCTCAGGGACGTCTTACTTTGACCTGAGCAGCATGCAGGACCAGCAGAGCTTGATCAACCTCACCTGGGAAGGTTTCAATGACATCATCGCACATCATATGAGCGGTGTCCTTGGCACGGAGGCGACGGTGCAAGCCTTGAAACTCTACGCTCACATTCCTTCTGTTCAGTACACAAGCCCCGCTCAATTTCCGGGCGTGCCGTCTGCTGAGCTTGCCCGGATGATTGGTGACCTCAAGAATGTCTGTCCTATCAAAATCCTCGCTGACGCTTATTCATATGTACACTCATCCCCTGCTTATGTATACGTCGCCGAGTTGTATCCTTCCCACAATATGAAACTTTCGTCCTCTATATCTACTACGTTCGTAGGCTGGGATGTCATGGCGTTCTTCAATGGGTTTGATGAACTCGGTTTCCAGGCCGGACAAGGGGACATAAACTTCCAGAATGTCTTACGGGAAGAGGTGATGAGTTTCGCCCGCTCGGGAAAACCTGATGCATCGAGATGGCGGGTGGTGTCTGAAACCACTGGCGTGATTGGCAGGGGTGTGACCGTCACCCCGGTGCAGTCAGAGTATTACAGTAAATGTGAATTTTGGAAGCAGTATGGGTTTTTTAAGTACACTTGGTTGTAGAGCGATGACTGTTTTTGTGTGGCATAAGCATGCTTGTATCAGTGCAATGTGGCATTTCTACTTGATTTTGCTCCCACTGATGTGGATAGGGTGATTTTTAAGGAGTTCGATGGCTTTGGTGTGTTCATGCGAAAGTGTGTCTTTCATGTATGTGTGTGTTTGCTTGTGTGTCAATAAATGAATGTACAATGTATATGTGTTTGCTCTCCTTGAATGCCTGCATGTGTACGTGTTAATATAATATGAATGTGTGCGTTTGTCTGTTTGCACGTGCCACTGAGAGCAAACTACATTGTGATTAGGTGTATGCGCGTGTGCCTCTGTGTTGAATGTTAATAATTCAGTGTGAGCGAATTATTCTTTGTTTGCTTTGTTGACCCTACTTCTTGTCTTTCGATGTACAGAACAAACTGGTGTTTCATTTGTTTCTTTTTTAAATAGATTATTTAAAGTTCCCATCTGAACTTTAAGGGGGGGGGGCTACACATGGAAGCTATCTCGCTTATTACTGGGCCGAATTTTACCAAATTTCACTCATATAACAAGCATAGTAAGGAGTCTTAAAATCCGCAATCAAATTTGAGAAAAAAGTTGCGTTTCCATGGATACGCCGCCATATTGGTTTTTATTGACATGTTATGTCTTACGTAATGAATACCGCACTTATTGCTCATGGAAATTGATTGTTTTTATGCACGTGTGTTCACAAACATTAGATCTAAAACTTTGTGTGTTTTTTTTTTCCTAAACGAATTAAAAAATTTTTAATGAATTTTTTCCTGAGGTAGCATTCAAG